GATCAGAAAGAACAGACTATGTAGACTTGGCACTCTTCAGCAAAGAAGGATATCTACAGACTCACTCAGAGCTGTGACCTGCTCAATTCCTTCATTTCGGTGAAAAGCACTGTTTCACTCTAGCCAAGTAGGTCATGTAGCTGTCCCCTCCTTTGGGGACACATTCTGCTACATGAAGCCTAGGTAGGGTGGTACCTCATCTCCTCCTAAACCTTGATTTTTTGCGTGTAGCTGTAGCAGAAAGTGTAGAAGTTTGCTAAATAGTGTTCCTGGTTTTGCCTAACAAAGTTGCAGTCTTAATTCATGCTGTTAAGAAAGGCAGCTATATAAGTACTTGACAAAACTAAATGTTAATAATTTTAAAGAACAATTTGTATGAATCTCATGAAACTTAAAGTTGCTTCTGAAAAATCAATTTGCTTTTTAGTTGCTGGGCTACATTTTACCTCCCTGGCAGCAGATGGAGCCACAAGGCCATCCAGCAGTGTTGCCTGCATCACACTGCTTGGCACCATGAGTAAACAGGAGTGTGGTTTTCCCCTGCATGCTGGATGGTTATATTTTTCTGGCAATTGTATTAGGCAGCAGAAATGTTTGCTTGGGGCCAGATTCCACCGTGATGTCACCTCCCTTTATGTTACTGAATTTGACTGTAGCAACAGTCCAACAACTGGCTATTGTTTCACTGGTCATCATTGGTTCCATGAGACGAAGATAGCTAACCCAAAACCCAGGAAATGTACAATTGCAAAGAAAATACAAGTCTTCTTGCACCTGACACATGAAAAATTGTGCAGTGCTTGTGTGGAGGAACCTGGGGTTCCAAAGATATAAACTTTGTTTCAGATTTGAAACATGACAATCCTTTCTATGCTACTTAATATGCAAATATTTATATTTTCCCCCATGCTAAAATATTGCTATTGCAGACTTCAGGCAATGTCTGGTAAGGATGAGCATGTTATTTAGTGAAGGTACAAACAGTAGCAGAATTCATGTCCTTACAAAGCTTACAGTTGAAACTCATCTTGTCCTGTGTATTCTCCCATGTTGCCCTTAGTGTCATTCAGTGCCAGCGTTGCTTACGTCAGAACTAATCACTGTCCTCCAAATGTCATCCATGTTCAGATTAGACAGCATCTTTGGAGACTTTCTTGGTACCTCATTAATAACCCTGCTACTCCACTCTGGTTTTCTGCATTAGTGTTACAAGTTTTGAATACTTCCTTATTTTTACAGGTAACCCTGAGTTATGGTGACCCTGAGAACAAACACAATGTCGTTAGCGTGGGAGGAGTGTTTGGCCTTCAGCAAGATCCAACCAGGTTAGTGTCCTCTTCCAAAACAAGGTCTTCCTACCTTGTTCATGTTAGTCACCTGTAAGATGATCAGACCCACTAATGGGTTTATTTTGTCGTGTCAGCTCGCTACTGTGCCAAAAGCAGGTAGACGCACCCCCTGCTCCATCAGCCTGCTGCACATTCAATGCTAGTATGTCCCATGTATGGAGAATTCCAATCTAATGCTGTCTTTTTTTCTTTTTTTCTTTTTAATATAGATTTAAATCTGTCCATTGTCTGCTTTACCCTGACACTATTTGGTGCCCTGCTAAGAAGATGTCATAATTCTTGACGAGCCACTGACACCTGTGTCTTAGCTAGTTTGCATAATGCAGGAGTTGTGGAGTTTTTGGTGGTTTTATTCTTCTTCTGGGAGACAACCAGTGGTATCTACAAAGGAGGTAGACAGACTCTGCTCAGAAAAGCAATAAGGTATGGTTTGTTCAGCTGCAGCCTGGGACATTCCGGGAAGAATCTTTGTTCTTTTGTCTAGTGGCTCTTCATAAGATGGCCACAGTTCTGTGTGTATGAGTCACTTCATACTTTCATTTGATGTCATGTGAACCTGTGCTTGGGCACATCTGAGGCAAATGCAGTACTGGGAGTGAGAGTGTTTTTACTACCCTTAGGGGTTATTGGAAGCCACTGTGTTGAAGCTGGAGTGCTAGAGCAGACTGTAGTCCCCATGGTGACAAGAGAGGGGAAGTTTTCACTCATCTTTCTTGGGAACAGAATTATTTAAGAGCTTCTGTGGCCTGACAGATTAAAACTGCAGCTGGCTAGAATACAGAAATCCTGGAATCACTAGGGTAAACAAGGCTGAAAGCCTTTGTCATGAGAAAACCCTGTGTGAGGGTAAGCTTACTCAAGACTAGATGAGTTGCTTACAATGTACATTCTCCCCTGTCATCCATGTGTACCTCCTGTGGAGGTAATTGTCAGACCTGGCTCACATGCCAACTGAATTGCAATGGTTGATGATTATAATCTATTCCCTTGATATTTGATATTGAAAAAATATTTGCCTGACAGGATGGTAATTGTTCCTCCTACTTGGCTGATAGTTGGTCACATGAGCTGGGGAAGCTTGTGCTGGCAAAACATGCAGTGTTTCTGAAGTGTGAGAGGGGAGAAATGCTAGGTAGCTGCAATGCACCAAGGAGAGTTTTGATGGTATCATTTCAGGACCTTTAATTGTATGGCCATGGTTACTCCAGCTTCTTCAGATAATCTTTTAATTACCATAAAGCCAAGATCAGTGCTTGTTTTTACTCCTTAATAATTCAACAATTAGTTCATGCAGTCACTAAAAGGAGATTGCACATTTACAAGCAGAAGTTCAGTGCTCTAGCAGTATCATCTGCTGCTGCTTTTTAAAGAAAGCAAACTTAAGTTTTAAAGTGGATGGAATGGGGCTGCATATGTTTACTTTTTTGTTAGCCCAGACTGTGGCCATGCGCAAACCCTGCCTGACCTGAAGAATACATTACAAAAATATTCCTTTGCAAAATCACTGTTTACTCTTATAAAAAATACTTGCTGGTTTAGTGCTAGAGTTTGAGGCCAAATTAAGGGAAGAATAATAGAATGCTGTTGTATGATCTGGAGCTGTGATTGTTGGCTTGATTGTGGATCTAGCAGAGGTTTCAGGTTTCTAAATGGCTGCACTCAGCTGTACTGTGGGGTTCACCTAGTTATTTAACTTCCTGGCAAATGCCTGTAGAGTATTCAAGTGTGCCACTTAGCACAGGGGTCAGCCTCCTCAATGTTCCCTGCATTTTAACAAACCTTTCAGTGTTTACCTCAGTACACATTGTCCTCTTTGCATGATTTTAGGTAGTTCTGCTGAGGAGCAAACAAGCTGACAGCTAGTTACTACAGTCCTGCAGCTCATTCTTGTATTTCTCCTTCCTATCATGTGTACTAAGGTACACATGAGGTATGGAAATGAGAAAGCTGCAGGGAGCTGGATCAAAGCCCAGCTAGCACACTGGCTGTTCCATGATGGGCTGTCAGTGTTACAGGTGTGCCTGTCACAGAAAACAGAGGAGGATTTGTGGCATAGTAGGTTCTACCTCTTTATTAGATCTTCTGCTAACTAGAATTGAGGCATCCTGTGGTTTAATTATTTTGTCATTAATAGTTCTGGAGATTTCCTGGTATGCATGTATTTTTTTAATATGGTTTTAAAGTCCTGTAGCAGAAAACTGTGAAACTTCATGAGCTCTTGAGGTGATTTTGTCTTCAAGCACTGCTTCTGAACTCTCCTCTTGGAAATCTTCTTCCCCTTCCACTGGAAGCACCCTTTTGTAAGACAACAGAGATCAAGCAAGGACTGGGCAGCAATTGTGGCAAACTGCATTTGAAAAAAACCACAACACTTTATATTGATGGCAGCAAAACTAAATGGTAGAAGTTTCACACTGGTCACTGGTCACACTAGGTATGCCAAAGAGGCAAGTGCCCTCAAAGCTGGGAGGGTGTTTATGGAACTTAAAAAGAACCATGTTCTCCTGCAGGGCAATAGGAAACTTCAGTGTGTTCAGGCTCATTCCAAGGTTTCTTGTGCTGAGAATGCATTAAGCTGTGTGGATCTATCAGGATGCAGCTTTTTTATCAAACTACTTTTTCATACATAAAGTGATTCTATAAAATAAATATTTAAATATGTCAAAGGCTGTGTTTTGTAATATTTCTTCACGTGTGCTCTGTATCAAAAATGGACCTTAAACCCACTAATTCAGAAAACTATGCCCTCCTGTCAGGCTTATGTGATGCCAAGGGCCAAAAAACAAGTAAGGTCAATGACTGGGATGTGGAGAACAGAGGTGGATGAGAAGAATCCTTGCAGCTGCTTCTTAATAGTACAATCAAAGAATTGAGATAATAAGGATTTTAATTGTTATCTTCAGCAGCAACTTCGATGGGGCAGAGCTGCAGGATTTTTTCACCAGACTCTAAAAAGCCTGTTTTTCTGTGGTCGCTAAAAGGAAACGTCACGAGTGAGAGCCACGAAACTTCACCTCTGCCTGACTCGCTGGATGAGCCTGGTGCCAGCTTCGTGCGCTCCCTCGGCGGA